TTATTTTTTGCTGTACATTATAGCTGTGTGGTGTTATTTCAGCCTGGAAACAGACATTGGGTTAACCCTGGCATTGGATTTCGTGTACCAAGACATTACCTCGAAGAAGTTCTGGTTCTTTTTCAGATATTTGACTAATTCCTCACCACTCAGCACCTGCGCCGCCCGTGGAATTTTCTCATTCCTTATAGCAGCTGCAAAAATGGTATGACCAACTGCTAAGTATTCTTCAATGTATCTAGTAGTGGCATAGAAATGAAGACCAACCGAGCACATCCGCTTCGGATGCGAAGGCTACGTGGGATAGGCAAATGCAGAGTACAGCTACGATGTACCGCTGGAACAGACATTGCTTCTCAAACATTCAAACAAATAAGTAAAATCTAGAAATAGTCACGATGAAATTACTTACCATTGCTCAGAATGTTGTTGTTCCGGAAGCATCTCCTTATATTCATGAAGTCAATTGTAAAAAAAGGATTAGCTCCGCTTCCGATAAGATAAATATCAAAAGAACCTGTAGAGTAGCCGTCACATTTATTGCATGCATTCAAAGTGCAGAATTTCTTCAATTTCAATTAAAAAATTGTTTCGAAGACCACTCTGAATACTTTGTTTATCTTCGTTTTTCAAGGTAACTTTGACCCCTTTTTCGTAATCTCTGCGCCTTTATCGAACCATTCATTGCGAAATTGCGAATAGTCACTGTAACGTGACTTTCCGGCTATTGTCAGTGAAGTAGTCAGTTAGTTGTGCTAAAACGTCAATCATTCGATTGCTGTAAAAAGAGGCCCTTTGATGCTCCGCACTTCTAAAGATGACTAGACTTCTCGTTCAACCGATTTGTTTGTTTTTTTTNTTTTTTTTTTACTTCTTAACCCCCTAGAGATTGGAGCTACTTCAACAAGCTCACCATCTGCAATAGTAGGCAAATTTATTAATTTTAATTTATTTAAATCAAAGCAAAAGTAAATTCAAATAATGAAGGCTCTAGAAGGTAGAAATGTGTTTATTCTTGTCGGAATGACCTAAAGAGAAGCTACCAGTAAAGGAACATGATTTTCCCAAGAGGAACAACATAACATAGTTTTAAATCGAGTTCTTCCGCGATGTTGAATGAAACATTTATTTATCTATTGATTTATTTATTTCCTTATTCACTTTATTTGTTGACTTATTTATTCATCCAGTCACGCGAGGTACGCCTACGGTTTTAGTGAAATTGAATGCCTAATAAAGTAAGCAAGTCAAGCAAGTCACTTTTCCAAACGTATAGGTATTCAGCGTGTTTTGCGGGCCAGCTGGGCCAGCTATTTCGTTACCATCTGGCTACGCGGGAAAAATAGCTAGTTGAAAGTCTTAGTTCAATAGTTTCTGCTTAGTTTCGAGCTTTGAAAAGACTAGAAGAAACTACGGAATCACCTCTTCTCGTTTGTATCACCCCGCATTTGTCCAGCCTTAGCATGAGCTCTCCTTTTAACGCTTTGAAACATAAGGCAATATCGCTAAACACCATTCTGTACTGTAACGTTTTGAGTTGGACATGTTGTAGGCTTTCATGGTAATGTAGTGATTTCGCGGGTATTGAGTGTTAGGATCACATCAGTACATCTGAATTCCTATGCGGAATTGATTGAAGGCACAGTTCATGATAAATTTGAGGTACCCTTTTTTTTCAAGAAAGCGGAAATTATGTTGAGTTGCTTCATCGGTAATGAAGAAGGCGAGAGAATTTGCCGATTTCGAGAATAATGTGGCTCCTCAAAGGTAGGGGAAATAGAGGTGGGACGAGATTACCATGACGGGAATAACATCTAAGGGGCATTTGGACGAGCTTTTAGTTCTTGCAACTGCGCAAAGAATTGACCATATCAAGTCAAAACTGTAAAGAACTGTCTTTCAACGTCGTTATTGGTCATGGCAAGTGTTGAAACTCGTCCGAGGACACACACGGTGCAATGCTTGAGCCTTCAACACGCCCTATCCAAGCCATTTTCCGACCAAATAGCGCCAGATATGGTATGCGAGGGGACGTTGCATTCATCCTATGGGGGAATCTTAGGAACCATTTTTATCGTATGCCTTTAACCTTTTCACTTTTTGCCTGAATTTTTAGTTTGATGAGGGAAGGGATTCATCCTTGTTTACAATGATTGATAGAGGGGTAGAATGTACATATGTGCGTGGAATTCCTGTCTTTCCACAATGGTTTCTTGTGTGGGATTCCGATGAAATGTCTTATTATCTGACACATTGGGAAATCGCTCTGCCTTCAAACCCCTTCAACAGATGGATACTTTTTCAAGACTTCATCATACATTTTATTCACCTATGTAGCAATAACCATCATCAGACATGTCCGGCTACTACGTCTTCTTCAATTCCACAGTGGTTGCTTCCACGAAGCATACGGAAGTAACCTACAAGACGATCATTCACATCCAATTATCACAAATGAAGTGGGTTTGACACATGTGGGGCTCAGCCCTTACTGAGTCCAGCTGCAGGAGTCAGTTTCACACTCACCTTTCTCTCCCCAGTCATTGTGCCATGAATTAGCAATGATCCAGTAGGGTACACCTCGTTCCGTACCCCATCCGATTATCTTTACAGCATGACCACCTCGTGCTCTTCCTGCGCGATGCTGAAAGCAAAAATTGTTGGCATCCAGTTCCTTTCGGATGAGTGACATGTCCCTGCACAAAACTCACCCTGTAGATTCCTCTTACATAGTATGTGAAGTCATCGTAAACAGTGAAAGCGGCAACAACAGGTCCGTTCTTCATGATTTCCCTCTGAATAGCTTTGACCGAGTTTGGTAGCGCGTATGCGTCCTCGCCTGAAAATCAAAATATGCAGTGAATCTACTGCTCTTTCTGACATTTTTTCCAGTTTTTTTGCATGTTTGGAATCGCCTGCTGCCCTGATGAAAAAGTTCTTTGGGAATTCCCGAATTTTACAATGCGCAAAAAATCAATTCTGTCTTGGGGCAGTTGGGTTTTTAATATCGTGCAGTTGAGTAAAGTGGAGCCCTGATTGTCTGAGAACGCGCTACTATGGTGGAGGGTGTGCCATACAAAATTTGAGATTTTTCTTCCTTGGTTTCCTACTTTCTGACTGGATAGTGATTTCTCAGCCTTTCTACACAGGGCAGGATCAACAAATGCTCAAATCCTGCCAAGCCCCTGTCTTGATTTCAAAAATTATGGGTCTACCTTGCATTCTATCGCTCTTGTATGATTTCTTGTAAGCCTTTTGACATTTCCTCATACAGCTTGGTGTGTCAGCATCATCCGGACACTCGCCATAGTACGTTTCGTTTCCATGACGTCCACATGGATGGAAGGGGTAGGGGCGGCAGCAATTCTATACAAGATCAAGACCACCGTAACCGTAAGTGTTTCATTAGGAAGATTTTATAGCCTTACCTTATCACCGTAGTCTCCTCCGGTAACAGCACCCTGATATGCAAAAAATTTGAAAGCTTCGATTGGCCAGCCACCTTCACATCTGAAGTGTTATATTGTAACCACATAGGGGACTGTGCATGAATGGTGACGATATGGTGAGGGCGGAGGTGATGTTGTGGCAAGTGGTGCACTTTACACACGCATGGTCAGGGGTTCAAATCCCGAATTGATATCCTGCTAATCAACCAAGCTTTCCATCCCCTCGGAGCCGGCTAATTGGTACCAGACTCGTCTGGGTGGGCAAGAGCATTGACTTACATATCGGCTGGCCACCGCGGTCATTGTATAGGCCACATACGTATGTAATACGATGCCACTACGATTCTGAATGGAAGTCTAAGTAAGGACGCATGCCTTAGACAGGTTCAATCGACGCCCAGAGATTTTATCCTTTCCCCTTTTATCAATTCTCTGTACTACATTAGTCTTAAAATTTCCATGTTGTTGTGAACGTCGCCACAACGTTCCCTTACAACGATGCTAAACGCTTTGGCAACAGACACCTTTGTGGTAAAAGGGACAAATTATTTGGAAAGTGAAGTCAGCAATAAAATCATACCCGTAACCGCATGAATAACAGCATGACACAAAGTCAATCGACGAGACATGCACCTGAATTTTTCTCATCACATTTCTCATCAGCGGAACCCAATATAAGTAAAGGATGTACCTGTTTTTCTCCCTTACTAGCAATGCAAATACGATCGGAAAGAGCGGCTGCTGTTGAAACTGCCCAGCATGAACCTGAAAACTCAAAATTTGGCCAATCAACCTAGGTTCCAGGTCCCTCAGAGTTGCTTACCGCAGTTGGCTTGGTCACGGATATGTGTGAGCGAAGGGCAGTTCGGCCACTGAGTTCGAGCGTCGAAACTGCAAATGGGCGTTTAATATTGTGGATTGTCAGACTGACTGTTTCATTTACAGGGAGCATGGACCATGGATTTCTGAGCTTTGACGATTTCATCCACCTCGATTTTATTACCGGGTGCATTCGTCCTTACATATGGTAAGCTTGGAGGCAATGTTCACGATAGTATTGTGGGATCTACTTAGACGAATAATGGAAGTGATAGTCCAGAATAGCAAAAGTGACGAAGAAAACGCGGAAATCGGCGAGTTCAGAGAAATATACAGTTTCAAAAAGGTGTTGAAATTAGGGGTTGGACGAGAGTGTGACGACGATAGAAGGGGTATTGGACGAGCTGTCCAAAGGTGTGTGCATAGCGTACAATGGCTACAGCAAGCTGTCTGCGTGAGCGTGTGTGTTCCGGTGCGAATGGCACAATCTCTACAGCCTCTATAACGCTGTGAGAACTCGTCCCCCTTTGAGTATGTACGTCAACTAACAATAAGCCTGGTTGCGAACCCTGATCACATCCTGTCTAGGCCATTTCCCGACCCAACAGTGTACCTCGCGTTATACATGGGGGTCCAGATCTGTCGTGGAGAAAAATCTCAAAAACCCCTCTTATTGTGAACTGTGCCTTAGAATGACGGTAGACTGGCCACATTTCAGCTCATTAGACTTCGAAAGGGATACCTAACCTTTCTGGGATGTCGTCGCCATTGTCGTACATGTCGTTAACAACTGGCTTCTTATTCTGATTGAGGAACTTCAGATCCATCAATTTATGTTCTACATTGAAGCTGTGTGGTGTTACTTCGGCCTGCAAAACAACATTTTGGGAATCCTTGTTTTTGATACCCGGCGGAATACTACCTCGAAGAGATCCTGGTTCTTTTTCAGGTACTTGACCAATTCCTCACCACTAAGCACTTGCGCTTCCAAGGGAATACTATTATCCTTCAGCGAAGCTGTAAGGATGTAGTGATCAATCGCTTATTCTTTTTCAATATAGAAGTGACATAGAAACAAAGACCGACCGAGAAAATCCGCGTCGACCGCGAAGGCTACTTGGGATAGGTAAATGCAGAGTCCTAGTACAACGTACTTCTGGAACACGAACTGTAGCTCGATCAGTCAGTGAAAGGAAGAACTCTAGAAAAACGACTATGAAATAACTTACCATCGCTCTGGATGTCTTAGTAACGTAGCCATCTCCTTATATCCCATACAGTCAACTGCCATGTGAGGATTAACCTCGATTCCGATAAGAAGACTATGAAAAGAATTCGTAGAATAGCCATCATTGTTAATGAACACATTCAAAAAGCCCTAAATCCCTGAGAAAAAAATCGTTTCACAGGTCACACCCTTGGTTTTGTTTGATTTTCTTTTTGTTCCGGTCTCGTGTCCCTACTATAATCCTCTCATTATAATCTTTCGCTTTTCTTGGGGCCACGTTGACCCACTACGTGAACTCATCGTAACGTGACTTTTTCGATTGTTATCGGTGAGTCACTCACTTTAAGCCCTGTTCGTTGTCCTAAAGTGAAGCGCCTTAAGACGTCACCACGTTGAGAACAACTAGACGTCTGGCTTACTCATTTCGAACTTTTTGATGGTAACAAAAAGAGGGAGGTGGATTTGGTGTAGTGGCAAATGGCGCGCTATCACATACGCACAGTCACGGGTTCGAATCCCGGATGGTTACCAGCCTATGGCAATCAAGCTATCCATCTCTTCGGGGTGAATGATTAATACCAAATTAGTCTGGGAGGATAGAAGCACTGACTCGTACATCGGCTGGCTACCGCAAGTCATCATTGTATTGACCACACACGTATCCATTACGTCACTACGATTCTGAACGGAATCGAGTGCGTGGGCGCATCCCTTAGACGGGATTAATCGACGCAGAAAGAATTTATTTATCATCAACAGAGTAAGAAGTCGCCTAAATCTTCCAACGTTTTGAATAAGTATGTTGCCCATACAGACCAGACTATGTACAAGTCAGTCAGTCATCGTATCCTCATACACGGAACCCCCACAGTCCTCACAGTTTGATACCACTAACTACCTCAGATGGTTGAAGAGCTTGGTTGGTGTGAGCGTTTACGGGGCGGGACTCGATTTCCGGACCATGTGTACGATAAAGCGCCCTTTTGCACTGCACACCCTCAGCCTGTCATTATCATTACTTCTGCCACAATTTATTATCGAACAGTCAAGCTGAAAGACGAAGGTGGCGTCAAGGCAAGTGGCGTAAATTAACCGCGCATGGGCCAGGGATCGATATCCGCTTTGGCCAACTAAGCCTTCTGTCCTCCAGGATCGGCTAGTTGCTACCAGACTTGTCTGGGAGTAGAAAACCGTTGACACTGTGTAAGGGCAGCCCACCGCGACTGTCTCGGCCGAATCTGCGATTAAAACCGGCACTGGCTGCTTTCATAGTTCACGATTAGGCGAACCACCGGTCGGGCGACTGATCGCGCGATCGGTCGAGGAGGCAGCTCTAGCCATGGGCGCCGCCGAGCAATCAGTGCGCGACCGTCGTGCGACTGGTCGCTCGGTCGCTCGCTCGATAGGACTGCGACCGGTCGCTCGCCGAATCGTGGACTATGAGAATAGCCACTGCGATTCTGAATGAAAGTCAAATGCGGGGGCGCATCTCTCAGACGGGATTGTTCAAAGCTAAAAAGTATCATCCTTTTCCTGAACAAACTGAAGAGTTGCTGAGCAGAATTGAGGTGTTTTTCTATGGTACATAGTCATATGAATATGTAAATCACCTACCGCTTATTAAGTTTATCTTGATGCTAAGTCAAGTTAGAGCAGCTGAAAGCAGGCCTTCCGGAGGATTTTAGAGGGACTGCTGTACTTGAACTGTGTTCCAAAAGTAGTGGTTACACAATGGAAAAAGGCATTTTTGGATGTTTTTATTCGAAGCCATTGCATTGTTGTTTTTAGGTCGGACGTGTTTTCTTAAGTGTTTCAGAACGTTCCCAATAAATAGTATAAATAATAGTAGGATTGTGGGATTGTATTAATAATGAATAGTATGATTGACTCGACGCCATATGGTGTTTGCTAGGGCATAGGTAGTGTAGTGGCAAGTGAACCTGCCACACCGTTCGGTGATCGAATCCCGTATCGATACACGCCCATGCCAACCACGCCCTACATCCATTCAGGATTGGTTTATTGGTGTCGGACTCGTCTGGGAGAATGTAAGCACTGACTTTTGTAGATCGACTGGCCCCCGCAAGCCATTGTATGGGCCACATACGCGTTCAAAACGCTGTACAGATCCGAATACATAGAAGTCGGATGCGGGGTAGATCTAAAACGGAATTGATTGATGCAGAAAGACGTCGTCCTTTCATCCTTCATATGCACGTGATCATATTAGTGATTACGAATTGCTCTTGATATCCATTTCTCTATAGAATTTCCACTTCTTTCTCCTCTTTTCGTTTTTCCGATTTGTCGATTAAAGTATTGAGGAAACTAACAACAGATTCATTGAACATTTCTAGATTTTTTTCCGACCAGGAGATAAAAGACCTTTGGCACCTCCGCAGAGTAGTGTACTAAGTCGTTTTCACTTATTATCACGAAAAGAAATGAGAAAAAGTCCGCTGCAATCGAAGTTGGGTACCGTATGCAAAAGTGCGATAGCACCTATCAACTACATGTATAGGTGTACATGTTAGCTTATGAGAATTTTAGCAGCATCGAAATGTAAATGAGCCGAAAGTAACCGTCATCGCCGTCCAAACTATTCCGGTACTTTTTTTCTTGAAATTCTAATTAAAATGCCGTGGTAATTTGGTGCTTCGATAACTGATGTGATACTCATTTCCATTGCTAAAGCCACTACTGCCCACATGTTCTCATCGGAATGATTCTAAACTTATTTGAAGGGTAATGCTGTAATATAATTACGAAGGATGGGCTTCTTTTTGCTGCAGCCGTATGCTACTTGGAAAATTTGAAGTGTCTCCTTAGTATCGTACCGCTTCCCATCATTACTTGGCGCTGGATTAATTGAAAGAGGGCAACCCACAGTAATGGCAATCTTCTACTGTCGTGCTTGAGGGTGCGCTCGTCTTCAGATATCTGGAAGCAGTACGGTCTCACTATCACCAATGCCGCATTTTTTTAAGGCCTAGCCTCATCCATTCAACCACTGTATGTGTATTCCTTATTTTTTGAAGTTTGGATTGGAATGGAATCAAGTTGGATGGGTTGACCAGAGTGGCGAATTTCTTTTGCTTGTTCTGGTTTTCTTGGGTAAAGCAAACTCATGGCGTACTTTGTTCAACTCCCGACTTAGTCACTCCAAGGCCATTCATGGAAACGAATGCTTTCCAAATTTCTATGCCTATGGCACAAGGAAAACCGATATTCCCCGATCTGTCAAGCTGCATGTAAAAGACACTCTTTACCACTTTGCCCTCAAACTAGCACCATCCTTAGCGCTGAAAAGCTTAACGTTTCCAGTAAGATTCCGCCTCGAATCCCTTGACTATTCTAGGAAATCTCAATCTAGGCATGAGTAACGCAGTAACTCTCCACTTCCTTCATACAATAGAAGAGATGTAATCACGTCAATATGATGGGTTGCTGAGATCCTCTAAGGGTTTCCTATTATCAAAGTATTCGAAGGGTCTTTGCACCAGAAGCGATGGTCTCCTATCCTAACACAGTCAGTTTTTGAATTCTCCCATTCAATTTTTTTGAATTTATCAGTGTGTGGGCGTTTCCTTTGTGTGGATGGGTTTTTCGGCATTAGAAAGTTTTTAGTTGAGTCAAGCCTTTCAATCACTTGTTATCTGCATTGTTATCTGCAAGCAGTTCAGAGAAAAAAAACCTAAGCAGCTTGTGGCCTCTGACAGATGACTGTTATCACTTGCGATGGCATGATCATGATGGGGTCGACGCATCGCTTAGGAATTTTATCACAATGAAATTGTCAGAACAACGGAGAAAACTATCGAAACGCTTTTTAAGCCTCATTATTCTGGAGCGAAGCTGTTCTCGTCAGAAAAAGCATGGTGTCCAAGCCAAATTCTTGTTGATCAGTGATACGGGGCGATTGAGCCGAACTCTTATTAGTTATAGAGGCTAGAAACCTGTGGCTACATAGAACGTTTTCCGTGACCTATCTAGCTCAATCTCAATAACAGCCGCTACACCTGAGAAGCATTTCCTTGCGATTTCAAATTTTTCTTGGAATTGGCATTGAAGAACATTAACTACCATATTTCGTTAAGAAGTCTGACCATCGCGCTGACAGCCGTTCGATGTTCAATCGACGTCCCGAGGGGTTCAGTTATAATCACCCTGGTCCAACGGTCATCACTATATCGCATGACGTGCCAGGCCCACCTGATTTTCGAATTCCTGACGTAATCACCGGCACCGTGATCTTCGTTCGTTGTCGTAGTTCGCACCTCCGGACTCCTCTCTGCACTTGTGTGTATGAAGAAATTCCAAGCATCGACCATTCTGCAGCGCCTGAATGTTGCTGACTGCATGCTCATTCTGCTTTCGTAGACTCCAAGACTACGAGGCGTATTTCAAATAGAAAGGGACCGCAGTCTTAAATATTCCAGACGCCCCGCGTTTTCTTCTGCTCAGTTCCGGTACTAGGTTCTTCATCATGTTGACTTCTCGGCCTGGACACACATTCAGAGATAATCGTTCTGTTCAGCGTGAAAGGAGCAAAAGATACCAGTCCGTTTCTCATTAACATCGTCTTCATTAGGCTCAGTCGTGACCCGTTCCTTTCACAATCGTGTCAAGCTGGTCCAGCATTTGTTCCGCCTGCTCGATGTTGGGTGTTGTAAGCACGATGTCATCTGCAAAGCGGAGATGATGTAAGTAGCGGCCGTCGACCTTCACTTCCGAGCCTTTCCATTCCAAAAGACGCATGATGTTCTCGAGAGCCGCACTGAAAAATTTGGGCAAGATGGTATTGCCCTCTCGCCAACCTTAACGTTGAAATTACCGACGATATTTTGAAAAAAGTATGGTCTCCTCTATAGAGCTTCCCCAGACCCATATAAAAAGTTTCCAGCTCTTCTTCTTTGTAGCTCAGTGTTGATGCGTAGACAACGAAGATTGTTATAGGTGGCGTTGAGACGGGTTGCTGTTGCACCATTCGATGTTCATGGCCAAATGCGTGTTGTCGAGGACGCCTACACCGCCGACTCCTCTGCTGTCGTACGTTCCGTGGAACAGTTCTTCTCCAGTTTCAAGAATGGCAGCAGCGGGCGATACCTACTCGTGTCGATCAGTCCGATGACGTCGCACTGGATCTACTTGGCCTGCATGATCAGTCCTTTGATACACGCTTCCACTGCAAGCGTTCATGCATTAGAGGTAGGCATCGCCATCTAAGTCCTTCTCCTTTAGGTAGCCAATTATGGCCGTGAGAATTTAGCAGTTTCTCCCGAGCGGTCCTTCCCACCGCTTCCGTACTGGGAACTCTCAGGTTCAGGGGAATAAGGCTCTTTCTACCGCTGTTTTCCTTTTTTTCCTTATATGGATGCCCACGTTTACGTTTACGTCGCCAGGCTCTGACTCGTGAGTGGAGTCAGTTTTGGCTATGTGGATATGCAGAGGTACCGTTGAAGTTATTGCATGGTGAGAACTCTTCGGCTTTTGGGTTTGTAAGTTAGGTGTTTTCGGATCCCTTCATTATTTTCTGTGGCGATTTTCGACCTGGCAGCGCCCCTTCTACCATCCTGGGGCTATCTTGGGTGTTCTTTTAAGCTGAAGAGGAACTTCGGAAATCATTTTCATTATAAATGAACTTTTAATAGAGCGTATGTGACCGTAGACTCTCATTTACTCCATTATCTGCAAAATTGAGCAAGCATGCGTTTGTGGAATTGAAGTGAGTAGCCAGTTTTTAAGATAATAACTCTTTGAAGTTTATTGGTCTGAGTTGCATTTAGATATTAGGTTGTTCGGAAAGAAATGCACGTTTGAGCTTAAAAATTTTTATCATAAAAACGAAACTAAACAAAATTAATTCAGAAGATAATACCCATCACTATCAATGACTTGTTGCCAAGGAGGACGTTGCGCAGGGATTTATTCCTATTCTGAATAACTCGGCCGGCTGCGACTCAAAGTAATTGGACATCCAGTGTTGGACTTGTTCGCGGTTTTTGAACTTCTTCTCGGCCAGGGAGTGCTGCATCGACCCGAACAGATGCCGGATGCCAGATGAATCGGATGGTGCCAGGTCTGGGCTTTAAGGCGGATGAGGCAGGACTTCCCAGCCTCGACTCCTCAATTTTTCCCAAAATGATTTTCGCCGATCCGCACCCGCGACCCGACCCGCGACCCGACCCGCGACGCGACGGTGCGATACCCATTTTCCGCACCTGTTCGTCTTGCCAACTGACAGCACATGTTAGTGGATGGTAGAGTTTGAGCAGCCAAAATGTGTTGCCAGTTCTCGAGTGGTTTGGCGTGAATCCAATTCAATGAGGGACTTTAACACGTAGTTATCGAGGACTTGAGGCCGACTTTCACGTTCTTCGTCCTCTAACCTTTCATTACCGTTTTGAAACGCTGGAAACGTCGTCGACACTAGCTTTCTGACAGGACTTCTTCGCCAAATACCTCAGATGATGAGTTTCAGCAGCCGATTTGCCTTGCTTGGAGTCGTACCACATGCAAGCTCGCAAAAGGGACTGTCAGTCAGGCAACTCCCATTTTTTTTTCTTCAGAAAAAACAAAATAGACATGAACAAAAATATATCAAAGGATGCGCAATAAAGACCTCTTTTTAATATACAAGACTGTTTTGAAAAATCATGTATAGTAGGAGAGAAGAAAATGGACAAACTCAACGCGCATTCCTTTACGAACACCTAAATGTTGGTCTGTGATATGATAGGGGAAAATGCGCGTTTCCCAATCGCTCTCTGGCGTTGGAAGCCAACGAACTTGTCGAAATGCCGGCCGAAATAAACATGTACCATTTGAAAGTAGTTTGGCACAGAAGCACAGAAGCACAGCACAGCATGCCCAGAATATGCTCACTTCCAAAGCGACCGGACCACTCGTAATGGAAAGACTTCAGCGCTACTGACGTGGCTTCAAAGGAGAAGGGATGGCTCATTTGACCAGAAGCTGGTCCTCTGACTTAGCTTTTCCTACTTCGGTATCAAGCACCTATCGAACAGATCCCGATTGTTGTGCGCTTTCAACAGGACCGTCGTCAAATGTTTTTTGTGTCAGGTTTACACTATTTACAGCGACTCTTAAACATTTATTGTTTAAGTGTGCAGTGTGCAAGAGCTTTCGAGTTTCTCTCGTCCATATTTTGCAATTTATGTGGGATAAATGTGAAGTCGGTCAGTCGCAGTCACCACTGACTTCCTTGAATCAGAGCTGCATCGCGGAATCCTGCAAAGTTTGAGACATTCCATTTGATCTCTATATTTGGATGGCGTGATACTCACCTCCGGTACAGCGATTAAAACGACGGGTTTGATCGGTTGAAATGGTTCCTGAAGTGAAAGCTCCACATGTGAAGCGTTATAAAGAGTAGACTTTCCGCAGTACAACTTACCGTGACACTTAAGCGTGCGATTGCGACGCGCTCGCAGGTCGCGAATACTATGAACGCGGGCTCAAAGGCTGCTTTCATACTTCGTCGGGCACGCCGTTGGAGACGCCCATACATTTAGGAAGCGCCGTGGGAGCGGCTATGCGACGGCGGCTCTAACCGAGCGTGTGACAGCAGCGGGTACCGATCGATACCGCTTATCGAGGATGGCTGCTGTCACACGCTTGGATAGGACCGCCGTTGCTTTCATACTTCGGCGAGCGCGCCGGCACGTCGTTGGAGTCGCCCGTACATTTAGGAGGCGGCGTTCGAGCGGCTATGCGACGGCGGTCCTATCCAAGCGTGTGACAGCAGCCATCCTCGATTTGCGCTATCGATCGGTACCCGCTGCTGTCACACGCTCGTAGAGCCGCCGTCGCATAGCCGCTCGCACGCCGCTTCCTAAATGTACGGGCGCCTCCAACGGCGTACCGGCGTGCTCGTCGAAGTATGAAAGCAGCCGAACACGACACGCTGTGACTGCGCACTTTGGCTAAACGCGAGCGACAGAATCCAAAAATCAAAAAAAAGGCGTGCATACTTCCTCGCCAAGCTGCCTCTTTTTCGAAACGTGGACCTCGATCGGTAGAAGTCTTGTTGTAGAGCACCTCTGTAAGGCTAAATATATTGGTGCCTCACGTAACACCACTTTCATGGGAACTTACCCGCTCTATGAACTGGTTGTGGTGGTGCAGTCATTCGTACACGAACAAAGTTCTCGTCCCGAGGAGAAGCGGAAACTGGAGGAGCTACTGGCGGTGCTGGCGGTTCCTGGCGCGTTGTCATCTCCTCTGACGGTGCTACCGGACGACAAGTGCCGCCTGGTTGAGGTGTATTGTTTTCTGGTTCACTGCGTTCCAACATCTCCTGCAAATGACATTTAGCGGTAGTCCAGCAGAGGACACCCCCAAGCCGTTTCTCCACGTACCATATGTCGTTCCACAGACTGCACATCACATATCTGTCCAGGCAGTTCATCTGGGTCGCTTTCGCAGTCACTCAATTGGAGGCTCAGCACTTCGCGCTCACCGCAGCCTTTCTCTCGTGTCTGTAAAGTAACAACCAGGTTTTTCTTTTCCGCGAAGCTTAGTGGATCGTAGCGAAAATCAAATAGGCACCTTACGAATATAAATGTAGTGATCGCTTTTCTTCTCTATGCGTGCTCTTGCAGCCCATCCTTCGCGATCTATTTCAGCAAGCTGCAACATCTATCATTCAGAATCCTCTGGGTGACGTAGCAGTGTTCAGACCTCGACGTTCATTGGAGGTCGTTCTAATGTCGGCTTATCGATGAGCTGACCAAAACGCTTGATAACTTGCGGCAATCTTCTTCCACTTATGGGTGGCTGCTGGTGACCTTTTTAGATTCCCTCAGTACTTTAACCTCATTCAGAACAATCATGGGTGAGGCACATTATATCAAAGTCCATCGAGTGATCTTGGTTGTATGAACGCAGGAACGATTGACATTTGGAGACCATACGATAGGGTGAGGCCTGAAGTTAGAGAAGATCCTCGTTCCCGTAGCTCCCACTGTGTCATCCCAGCATTTGCTATTGCCTTATGCCGGGAGACGGGCAGTAGGAACGGTTTTGTGTCCTCGATCCGCCGCACGCGGCTGTCGCGGACCATTTGCCCCATTATAACAGTTCCAGCGTTCTTCATACAGCTCAACTGCTATGCGATTATTACTTATGGCATGTTTCTACTGTTAGTTCTTTTGTCCCTGAATTTCTTATTTGCTGCTGCATTCTGCTACATTCCTTCGCGCGCGGCGTCCCTCTCGCCGCGACGCGACAATTTCTTCCCTAATGCACCACACCCTCTTATGCCGGGATGCAGGTCAAGTAGAAAAGCGGTGTGAGACCAACCGCTTCACAACATCACTCAATTAAATGATTCCTACCTTATCCCAAAAAGGAATGCTTTTGTTAACCACTTCGGAGAACGACGATAGCACTCGGCCGTGATGTTTCTCTAGACAGGGACGCATTGCTTCAGCAAACATCGAAATTCCACCAGATATGAACATTCGGCGAATCTGTTGGTTCTGAACACGAGCAGATAATGAACAAATGAGTGACGGAAAGTGGAACGTCTACTGGATGCATAAAGACCTTTCCGACGTCTTTCCACTGGCTGCGTCCTGCCATAGTTGCTCTGTCGATCTCAGGAGGCAATGGAATTACTTTAAATGTCCGTCCTTTTCGTTTTCCACGTCCTTCCATATACCTGTAACTTTGGTTGAGTTAACTATACCAGTTACTGTAGCTACGATGGGTAATGACAAACCTTGGATCTTTAGAATTTGTTGAAATCCAGTTAATTGGGCATGACATTGTAGAAAAAGTCTGAAATGTCTGCTTGACAGTGGTCCACAGATTGACATAATTGTCACATTGAAACCAACCATACAGAGGGGTAGTGATGAAGTGAACCTCACCGCCGTAATTCTGGTCTTTTATTCTCTTCCTCTATATCACACATCAAGTGTATTCCCCTTCATTTCCGAGATAAACTGATCGGTTGCATCCATACTTTATCAACAAAGGTGGATTTTAAAAGTGAGCATATCGGCGAATCTATAAGATCGGTAACGATTAGACGCTCGCACGCGTTACAGACCCGGGTGCGCTTCGTTGCGCGCGTCCATCGAAACTAGGTCACGCTGCAGCAGTCGCATGCGGCGGGTCAGCCCGCGATACTTGACAGAGTCGCAGTTGTCGGTTGGGCATACGATTTGCGCTTGGTCCACGGCAGTCAGCCAAAGAGAAGATAACACGGACGAATGCAAATCGTTTGTTCCACTGACACTTGGTGGTACTGAAATGTCATCTTGAGACCTCAGTGGGGTGCGCCGCGCGCGAAGTGGGCGGAGTGACCTAATTTCGACGGACGCGCGTAACGGACTTTCTCCTTACAGACCCACACCCCTTTATGCCTTTGATTCACCCTACCTTTCATATCCCTGGCGTTTTGTTGAGTACTGTCTGTTGGTATTCAGTATTCACATTCCAACCTACCTCGCTAGCATTTGGTAATTTAAATGAACCTCTTGCTGTTGAACCGATTTATAAATTTGCCATCCTATTCTATGACTGAGCGATTCAAAGATTGGAGCTCGATCACCCAGAAGTCGAGTATGGTCCCGGATAGTTTTAATAACCCTTTTCATATTGAAAAGTGGATACATTTCTGTATAGCAACGCACTGATGACGAAGAAAGGGATAAGATCCGCAACTTTTGAGAAATATAAGGTCCCACCAAAACTAGGGAATGAAAAAGAAACCGGGAGATAAGAAAACTAGGGAGTAAGCTAACAACGGCTGGCTCTTCTACCTACTTCCTATGTTCATTTCCTCCCATATCTTTGTACTCTTTGAAGCTAGGACTAATAAACAAATAGGCGAGACCGGCTAAAACATTAAAGCACAGTTCACGATAAATTTGAGGTACTCATTTATAGTCAAAAAGCGGAAGTACAGTTCAGGAGTAGTTAATCGGTTGTGAAAAAAACGAGAGAATTCGCCGATTTTGAGAAAATTATGGCACCTCAAAAATAGAGAAAGTAGAGGTTGGACGAGATTTCCATGACAGAAATGACATGGAAGGGGTATTCGGACGAGATTTCAGTTGTTGCAATTGCACAAAGAGCTGACTACATCACGCCAGAACTGTACAGAACTGCCTTTCGCTGCCGCTATGGGCCATGAGAGGTTGTTTGAACTTCCTACACGGGTTCCCTTGTGATCGGTGCAGTTTTTACAGTGCCGGTGAAACTCGTCCGAGGATACACACGGGCCAATCTTTGAGCCCAACTAGGCCGTGAAGTCGTGGAATCGTATTTACGGATTCTTCCCTGCGAGTCCTCTTCGTGTTGTTGACAACGTAAGGGTTAGGAAGCGCATTTGTACTTAGTGACTGGTAGTCAACTATAAGCATTGCTTAGCCCTTACTCTCTCAACAAGACGGAGATGGTCGATGTCCGTTTCGGTCACAGAACATTAACCGGTCTCGGAGCTGCGATCAGGTGCTGAAGGCTGAGTCATTTTCACCGTCATGTGTCAATAATAGTTTTGTTTTCAGTTCGCTCACTGCTAATTCTTCGAGATCAAAAAGGGGAAAGAATTGCTGCCAGGAAACTCTCCACCTATCAACTGATCAGTTTTTCTTTTCAGGAAGAATTTGTTAATGCAGTGACTGTTGTTTCATGGTTTTAGTAAGTTGTATTTTCCTATGCTTGCCTGGGCTTTCATCTTGTTTTGTTAGGATAGTTTCCGTTGATCAATGGTTCCGATCAATACGATTTTATCGATTTCATACATGCAACTTTACCGGTTTCATAGGCAGAAATATAGTCCCTGCGTGTTGTTGACGTTTATGTTTTCTCGTACATTGGCTGTGCTGTGCTTGACTACAGTTTGGTTTACAGTGAGGATATGAATTACCTTGAAATCCCATCGATAAGAACGGTTAATGTTGCGATTTTCTCATCGTCATCATCATCTGTACCGATACAGGGAAAATGGTTCCTAAGCGGGCGGACAGGGTCATTAGGTCCACACTCGCGGTCCTGGTTTGGGACTCACTTCGGGCCTTGTGGCCCTGGTCTCCCCACTACCAGAAGTTAGGGCCCGATATCTCTTATCTATGGAGCTTCAGTGTATTTGGTTATCGTTACTGCGTATGAGTAAAGATAGCTGCTGGTTGAACAGAGTTTCAGGTATTTATGAAATAAAAATGTTGTTTTCTTGTGTACATTTTTGTTGTTAACATGTTCATTCATTCTTGTATATTTAACACTGTTTCGTATGGAAAATTCCAAGTGTTCCTGGTTGGAATTTTTGCTCCGCTTCTCCCACCTTCTCTCTGGCTTGACCTCTAGTCGCATATGTACTCATTTCCCGAGCCATAGTTCCGTCAATCTTTAGAAATAAACAAATAAATTTCGAAATTACACGAGATAAATGAATTTTTAATAAATAATTGAGCTGTTTCTTGAAACGGAACTAAGTAAACAATGAAAATGGAAAATGCAAAAATAAAACATTGCTCTTGAGAAGAAAAAATGGTGGAGTTTGGAAAAGCTATGAACTCTTAGGAATTCACTCGGCTTGAACAAAAATTATTGAGATTTATTAAAGTGAAAAGTGAAAAACGCTGATGTACTGAAAAGGTTAAAGGCACAGTTCACGATAAATAATTGTTTCTGAGATTACCCCACGGGATGAATTTGAGGCCCCTGCGTATACCACATGAGGCACTATTAGGTCGGAAAACGGCCTAGTTAAGGACTAGACTATAAAGGCTAGAAGATTGGCCCGTGTGTATGCTCGGACGAGTTACACCGGCATTATAGATTCCGCACCGATCACAAGGGAACCCATGTAGGAAATTCAAAAAACTTGTCGTGACCCATAGCTACAGTGAAAGACAGTTCTGTACAGTTCTGGCTTGATGTAGTCAGCTCTTTGCGCGATTGCAGTAACTGAAATCTCGTCCGAACACCCCTTCCATGTTATTTCCGTCATGGCAATCTTGTCCAACCTCTATTTTCCAAACTTTTGAGGGCCCATATTATTCTCGGAATCGGCGAATTCTCCTGCTTTCTTCACTACCGATGAACTAATCCCAATCTATAGTTCCGTTTTTCGAATAAAAACGGGTACCTAAAAATTATCGTGATTTGTGCCTTTAAGCGGGCAACGAGCATCAAAACAGCTCCAACGTAGAAATGATCTCTTGAGATTTGCCAAATCACTGAATACAAAGCAGTACACCTGCATTAGGCTTGATCTCTACGTGACGTGACTGAACTACGAAACAAAGCTCGGCACTCGTTGCTTGTTCACCTGCAATGCCGATCAACAGCTCATCGCTCATCGCTCATCGCATGAAGCGAACTGTAAACCCATCGCCAAGGGATTCACCTACAATTTGGGCGAAAATCACATTGACCGTCGACATGAATTTTTTCGAAATATGAAAATTAATACAACACCGAGTGTCCATTTCTTCCAATAAAAGACGACACTCTCAAGTAGGGTGCCCTCTCTCTCTGACTACATTTTCACCCTATTTTAGATTAATTTATTTAAAGGAGTCAGCATTACTTCAAGGGCTTGATAGCAAGGAAACAGTAGTTCTAACGGTTCTCCGTGCATCATTTAGCGTTGTAATTCCTTTTTTCAACAAAAGAAAGAACAATTATTAAAGTTCGGAGGCTAATTTAATGCCTATGACAGTTAATGAGACTGAATTAAATCAAAACGAATTCATACCCCTACACTAGTACAACGACTGCTTCACCTTGTGAACTATTAGGAACAATAATGACATTCAGGTGATCTTTAAAATCCCTAATGGGCTTACATTTTGATGAAATTGAAATTTCCCCATTGCCAATGCAGTAAAACGCAAAAATAAGTCACATCAAGTAATTGCCTACGGTCAAACACTACCGTAACCTACTACCATTGGGTTCCTGCGGGGTTGCTACGAAGAGACAGCTGCAGAGTGATGAAAAATAGAACGCTCAAATGAGAGGGTACTGTGCGATGACGCACTATTGCAGAATATCCGTATAGGCCTACTTTCCTACTTTTTCTTTTTACGGCTAAATTTTACTGTAATTCTTTTTAAATTACCATCTTTAGAGTAGAGTAAGCTAAACCTCGAAGCTTACAAGTATTGTGTTACCTAAGCGTGTATCGTGATTCTGTTGAGAAATCTGAACGTCCTTTAGCGCTTCTATGCCGCCATCCTAAGTTGTTTGTTTGTTGTTTCTCTATGTCATGCTTCTACTTTACCCGCTATTGGTTTACTACTATGTTTCTTTTGGTTTTGACCTTTTCTTTAAGTACCAACCTGTCTGCAGAACGTCTGTCAACTGACTCGTATTTTTCCAGGATCACAGCTCAAGTACAAGAAATGTGGTTCTCGCAATCCAGCGGTTTCCCTCATTCTATGCTGGATTGCTGTTACGGCTTTTCCGGAAATGCCTAAGGTGGGTTATTTCTCAGCCAGTGAAAATATTTTTTAATTACGTTCGATTGTCCGTGGCTTTCATATATGCAGGAAAGCTAAGGTATTGATTTTATCGGATATCAATGCTGCATCATTGGCAGGTGTAAGCTGTTTTTACCTATCTTCAAGCTGTTGCATTATTTTGCTACGTGATAGTTTCGAGATAAACGTAGCTGCCTTTAAATGTAGAGTAAATCATTGCAAATAAAACGCAGATAATGGGTTGGGCAGACCGATGGGTGAGTGTGGGAAAACAGTGTCTCGGAAGGTTGAACCGCTGGTGCAGTAATCAGAAGTGTTCATATTTTACCAAGGTCTTTATCGTGCTCTGTTCTCCAGAAATTGGAAGTAGACTAAATGAGACAAAGATTGGTGGAGAAGATGCTCACCGAATACCATAGCCTCTTCTTCAAAAAATCTCTTCTTGTTGCGTCAACAACAAAATTGTGTGCAGTAGCTTCATCATAATAGTTAACCCAAAGGGTACGCAAGTCTTCTTGCCCACTGAGATCCCAGAAGTTAAGGCATGGGTTGTTGATTTCAACTTTACCGACTAAATGTTCAAAGTCGTAAAAGGTTCAAGCAATTGGTGCATATAAACACAAAATACGAATAAATACAAAATAAAAGGCAATTATATAAATGAACATAAAGCGGTTAAAGCATTCAGTCAATGGAAAATGGTAGCTGACTTATTTAGTTATAGTTAAAAGCGAACAAATGAAGTGAAGGCATGTAAAAACAGAAGAAAGCCTTGTTTCTCAACTATGTGTGTAAATTATTTACTATTCCGCCCCACTGTACTTGTTATTCTTGCAGGATTGAGTGCACCATATCCTTTCACAAAATAAACGTCTGAACTTTCGACTACTTAGTATGAGTTTCTTTGAAGTAATTGAAGAAAAAACGAAATTAAACGAAGGTTAGAAACCTTACTGGCTCACCAACAAACGCGGTCACAACATAATCCGTTTTCTGAGAAACTTTTCCCACAAACCAGCTGAGAGCGTACACATAGGAATAGCCCTTTTATTTCTTGGATTTTTGCTAACGAGCGAACTTCACAGTATAAGAAACAACAGTTGAACACGCTACTTTTCTGAAACAAAGTTTTTAATTAATAAAATATTCTAATACTTTCTACTCTCACAAGAATGAAATTTTAAAGGCAATCAAAACTAGATGAAACCAGCAGAAAAATGAATTCCCAAAAGCTTGAAGGATAATTGAATGTCTTTTTTATCGCTATGCACTAGCTCGACGCGAATTTTTGATGGTCTCCTCATCCTGGGAACTTATGAACGATGGTGTGGGACACCTTGTGGTCCAGTAGAATGTGTCGGTAGAATGTAAACGAATATGTGTTGAATTTATTTAGTCTACCTGAAGAAAGCTCTTCAAACCACTGATTATGGAACTTGACCTTTTCAAGAATTCATTTCTATGAGAGGATCACTTCCTTACTACTACGTTCCGTACTGTCATCATGTTCATCAGTTAATAACCTGTTGTCCCTTTGACAGCTATGGCCCACACCGGTGGTGCCACCATGACTGGCGCATGGGATATTGGCCCCTAGTTTTGGATGCCGCCATACTATCTTGTTTCTTACCGATTGTTAGGTTCAGTAAGTCAGTCAAAGGGTTTTCTCCTGGGACAGAGCCATCCACCGGTTAGTGCCAGTCGCGAGTGAAAGGAGGTGAGCGTGGTCCCAGGGGCGCGTCACGTCGAAATCCGCGTTGTCCTCAAAGGTTTATAACGATATGCAAGCTTCATAGTGGTCATGGAGTTTTTGCAAGTAATTGAGGTCGCTTCGCGCTTAGATGAGAGATGAACCTTTGTTGCGATCGTACCATTGTTCGGCCATCCGGCTGGAAACCGGCCGAGTTGTAAATCGCTCTTAAGGTGCTGGAAGTCTCGGGATTGATTCGAGGCCGAGCCCAGCTTTTGCTTGGCGAATTTTAGTTTAGGGTATTAGAATTGTTCAGTCTTCTGGAATGATTTAGTTTCGCAAGAATTTTGACACAGAAATCAAGAGTAGTGAACTGAAGCAAGATTGGCTTGAATGCATATTGAGCATTTGTGTCGGAAATGATTCACAATTCCGCGGCCTCCCAAGTAATTCTACGAAATACCTTTCTGCGCGCTTATCCAACTAAGACAGTGCGTCGTGATAGGAAGTGGGATAGGGATAATGCAAAAAGGAGTATATGTGATATATTGAAAGATCAACAAACCACCAACTCGATAGTTGATACTACCTCATATCTTCTTTTGTACATCGACTTTTTCTTCGCATAGGGGCAAATGATTGACCAGCTGTAGTGGAATACGCGGCTGGAGTGCGACTTGGTTGATCGTTTCTACTGGCAGCCGGGAATGCTCTCTTTTTTATTAATTAAGTTCGGAAGAGGAAGAGAATGGTATTCTAGTTAATCCATGAGCTCGCAGCTGAGTTTAATTTGGTGACATTTGTTTGACCACTCATTGGTAATGAAATATGTATTGACAACTCCTGGGCACCATGGACCATTTCGGGGTAAGTACGATCGACCATCGACTGGGAGCGTGGACTTTGTTCCCGTCCCTTTAGTTTTTGTTCTACTATAACTCCAAACCTTGTTTACCGCAAATTCTCAATTTATGTCAATCCTATTGTTTACTGCTTATCTAGCAGAGTTGCATCGTGTTGTTACATACAATACCGGTGTTACCAATTTAATAATTCATTGTTTATTATCCTCATGAGTTTTGGAATTTCCATGGTATTTTTTCTTCGATTACTTGATTTCTCATTAATTTCACGTAGAAGAGAGTGCCTCACGATAAGAACCTTCTGCAGGTCTCGAGTCGACTTATCCGCTGATTTGGGGTTCAACACCATGCAAATGGAGCTCTGCGTCAAAGAACAAGACGAGAAAGACGAGGATCTTTGGCTGAGACCCATTTACATTTTTTTGTTTGCGCTGCTTTCATGATTCGGCCCGCTCGTTAGGCAACTCGATTGAATTTTTGGATCAATCAGTGGATTTGGGACCATTTGCCAAATTTCTAGTAATTGTACGGGAAGAAATATGAACGCAGCTTGAACAATTTGTACAGGTTTTACTTTTCTTGATGAAATGGATTGGAAGCGAATCATGGCAAGTCCCAGTGCTATCCTCCCTCTCTGGCTCAGTCCACGGATAGATGGACGTTTCATCTTTAAGGCGTAGTTCACGATGAATTTAAGTTATCCATTTTTAGCGGACTAATGGAAATCACTACAATAAGAGTTACTTCGTCTCGAAGGGCGATAAAGAAGGTCGTCCACGACTAGTATTCAAGTCTTTTCGACAGCCACGTCGATATGCCTGTCCACAAATTCGACATGCCACGTCAATGAAGAATCGTACGCCGCCCGGTTCCAGTCGGAACGAACCAGAGCATCTGGAGAGTATGCCATCACTTATCTTCAGAACTTTGGCTGGACTTTTCACCTTCGGAATGCAAGTGCCCACAACGTGGAAAACCAAGACTGAGTTGCTGTGTAAGAAAGGAGATCCCGACGATATTGGCAACTATCGGCTAATCTTCCTGATGTTTGTAATCTACAAACTTTTCACACGCGTCACCCTCAACAGGACTGGCAGAATATCAGAAGAAGAACAGCCATGTAAGCACGCAGGGTTTCGGAGTGGGTTCAGTCAAATCGAACACATCCACACTGTTGCAAAACTCATTGAAGTATAGCGACAATACGGGACACCGTTATGTGTGTTGTCCGTCGAGGACGATCGCTAGACCACTCCGGCTCGCGAAAGGGATGAATGGAGACGGTACTGACACCCTCTCGAGTGAATCGATCGCCAATCGGACGACAGATGATACATTAGAAGTGATAGTCCAGAATAGGTCAACAAAATAACAAATCGAGAAAACGCGAAAATCGACGTATTTAGAGGAATATAAGGCGAGAATTTGATTTGACGACAAGTTTGCATGGAAGGGATATTTGGACGACCTGTCCAAATGTGTACGCTATTGCGCACAGCTGGCATCAGTAAGCTGCCTGCGTGCAGCATGTGTTTTCCGGTGCGAATGATAAAATCTCTACATGCTCTACAACGCCGTGAGAACTCGTCCACCTCTGGGTAGATGCCAACTGAACCGATTGTGGAGCCCTTATTATGTCCTATCTAAGCTGTTTCGGACCCGACAGTTTTTACTCATTGTGGCCTGCCAGCTTCACACATGCTTGGCATGTGATGAACAAACAAACAAACAGCGTCCCTTTTGCAATCCTGAGGGTCACAGGTTCATGCAAGGGAGAAGTCTCAGAAATCGTTTAAATCGTGAGCTATGCCTTCACAGAAGTGTGCTGAGTCTTGCCATGATTGGCCGGCAACTTCATATACACCAACCGAACTCGAATTTTCAGTGTTGTTCCGTACGTACTGTTTACCATACAAGACAATGTTCGGTTTTTGCCCAACGCTCCTATATACTCACGAATGGCCCTGCGGGACGATCTGCGCGTAGCCTACACAGAAGCTTTACGGGTGGCTCAGCCATCTGTGCCATGTGAGTAAGATCAGAGCTCAAGTTGAGTTATGAGCTTCTTTAAAAAGAAGTTTTGTAAGTAAAGAAAGTCGTTCTCAGACATTCTACTGGCTTTCATTCCTTCCAGATAAGAAACTCTGGGCCGTTAAACAAAGCGTCAAGGGTACAGCTGTGGGCGGCGAGCCTTCTGTGGGCTGTCAGATCTTACTCTTGCCAAAAACGCCCAATAGTGCCAGCCTCGGTTCCTCATTTGCTGTGCTTCCAACCACATCAATAAATCATAAGACACATTTCACCTGGCTGTCAACTTTTTTGGAGTATAGCGGTCGATTTTTCTGAATGCATCCTAACACGGTCCCTCCTTGGACCAAAGGTTAGTTAACATTCAGCGCACTTCACGGTTCTAACTTCCTCATTTAATTTTATTCAGGTTGCTGCAGTGCTTTGTTTAAGTAGGAGTGATTTCCGGATCATACACTGCATTCCTGCCTCGAAAGTAGCTCTTGCTAGAGTCACAGTAATTTGGAGGAGTTTAAGGAAAGGACGGGACCTCCCCGGATCGCCGCCAAACTAGAATGGTGAGATGTTTGAGGTTTTATCAGGGCTTTTACTACTATATCGACTGGCGAACCTTATGTGGTCTCCCAGTTCTCTTTGGGTTCCAAGCCCTGACAAAGGACTAAAAGTTGCAACATCTTGGCCAAGGCTTCATAATAACACCTGAATCATATTAATGGTCAGGATAGGCAGCTAGAAATAAAAATAATCTTCACAAACCGCTATGTTTGAAAATTGAAAATTGAAATTGTTTGTTCAAAATGTTAGAATTCAGTTACTTCAGAAGTGTTGTGGGTTGCCCGGGTAGTCTTATTCAACCACAAGGCATAACTCACTTAACCAGTAACCGAACTTACAAATGAAACCTTCTGTGTGAGACTTACGTGTTCCAACACCAATACAACAACAAAACTTTATTAACAGCAAAAACAAACACAAAAGAGAACGAGCAAAGAAGGCGATATGCGGGAAGGGGAAGTTAAAAAGACGACGACCACTAAGGTCGTAACGAGAAAGAAAACTTATGAAAACAAGCGGCCTACTCAGGACCGCACAGATAGTCGACTGAACTCTCGACTCACCGACATACACTCTTCATTGATAACTATTGATACGACTTACGCGTTTTGCCCTGACCGGCTAACTTTTACTAGGGAGGCCTACTAGGTCGTCTTTTCCGAACATCCCTCCCCGTCGGGTTGCCGACGTCCTCGGCGGCGCATGCATAGGTGGTATCATTATAGAGGATGTTATCATCCTTATATTCTCATATAGGTATCTTGTATTAGCCACCCCTGCGTATTTTTCGAGAAATTGCCAGCATGTTTCTGGCGATCCGAGTTCCACATATGCTTTTCCACCAATCAGCTTTGTGCTGGCTGTTGCGCGGAACTGTTCTTTGCCAGCGCCTTTTTCCAGTGTTTCGTCTAGAGTGCTCCAAACGTCGTACATTCTTCTCCACGCTTGGGCATTCTCGTGTGAACATGGTGTCCATGCGGACACGATCCTTGCCCCTTCTTGAAAGTGTTGTGCACATTCTGTGGTGATTTCAGTTATTTCGGCCTTTTCCCAGTTGGGGTCAATTGGCCATACAATCACCCAAATTCCAAAAGAATGCCATCCCTTAAGTTTCTCTTGTAGTGCTTTGAACGTCTTCGCAATTGTTGTTTGAATGCCTCCCCGCATTCCATCACTTTCTAGTACTGTTGCACATTATGGTGCGGCATACATGATGGGTCCTTCTTTTACTGCTCTATTCTCTCTGGACTCTTCACTCAGTTCATTTTTCATTTCTTTCAAAGCTCTTTTGTACATGTCTTCGACGCAGTATTCTTCAATGGGGGCATATTTTCTTATCACGTCTGTTTCGCAGAGGAACTCGGTCCACTCGGTACACTTTTCGTATGCGAATCTTAGCACTATTTTGAGTGCTGTTTCATCCAGACATATGATGCGTTATCTATAGAGTTTTATCTTTTTAGTCACGTCGATATCCTTCCTACCGAAAATGCTGCAAGCTATCCAAGCCCTCCATACGGTGCCTACGGGTTCATTGGCGGATGCGCCTGGAAACACCACGTCTGATATCTCCGCCAGCTTGGTTTTGAAGAGACATTCGTTCAGGCATTGATGCAGCAGGTGCCCAGGTTGCGAACTGGCTGCCAGTAATGCACCTCTGCAATAGGAAGTTGTTATTCTTTTTTGGACTTGCTTAGTTTTTCTTCTCCCTCTTTTTCCTCTACTTGTTTCTGTGTCTAAACGTTCATTCGAAAAGCATGAGGGAACTACCCTTAACTGATCTATTGGTATCTGGATTCGGTCCTTGTTTTCCCCAATTCTCGTGACTAGTGCCGAGTTTTCGCTTACTGTGATGACTCTGTAAGGGCCTGACCATTCATTGTAGAGTTTAGGGTGCCCTTTCTTGTATTTTTCAGCAGGACATTTGACGTATACCCTTTGACCTATCGTAGGGTGCTTGGCGCGATCTACATTAAATTCATTATCATACACGTTTTTCATAAACGCGCGAACTCTGTCATTCTTTTCTTTTACTCGCTCGTGGATTTCCTGGATCCCTTGCACTATCGCTGTTTTAAATTCACCTATATTTTTTCATCGTGTCAATTGTGTATTTCGAAGTCTCTTGTACAGGGATGAATTTCGATAGACAGTAGGGGTCAATACCGGGCAGTATGAAGTAGGGGCTCTCGCCAGTGGAACTGTATAGTGACATGTTGTAGGCCATCATGCAGAAAGGGTTTCTTTTGTCCCATTCTGTGGGTATCTTCGTTGTTTTTCGTAGCATTGCCACGATTGTGCCATTCAGTCTTTCAGTTATACCATTTTCGCGTGGCTTGTATCCTTTCGTAAAGACGTGTTTGATATTTGCAACTTTTTCTAGTTCTTCCATGATTTTGTTCTCAAATTCTGTACCTTTATCTGAGAGAATTACTATGGGCCAACGGCATCCATCGGCAATCCATTTACAAAAGATTGCTTTCGTTACTGTTTCTGCGCTTTTGTCAGGTACCGGGTACGCTGCCGCAAACTTTGAAAAATGCTCAATTACGGTTACGGCGTAGCGATTTCCTGATGTCGTTCGTCCTAACTCCAATATATCAACTCCTACGATGTCATACGGTTTCATTGTTCGTGTGGGTTTTAGAGGAGGTACCACTACTCTTTTGGGATTGCTTACGAAGCAAGTTTTGCACTCTTTTGTCCACTTGTCTATGGCCCTCATTATTTCGGGCCAGAATACTTGTTTTATCAATTTGTTGAATACTTTCCTGGCACAAAAATAACCGGCTAAAAGGCCTGCATGCGCTTCTAAAAATAGGTCATATCGAACACTCTCAGGTACCACTAGAACTAATGAACCATCTTCTTGGTACATTTTTAGGTGGCCATGTTCTATTACGAAATCAGATACTCGAGCTGGTCCTTTCATTCCGTTTATCTCGATTATTTCGTCGAGTTTGCCGTCTTTCCAGAGATTTATCACGTGTGCCCAGTTATCATCTTGTTGGAGCTCCATCAGCCATCTGGATTCTCCAGTTTTGATTGAGCATACTACTGCTTCATGTATTCCTTCTGTGACGTCTTGGTCTTCAAGTGCTTCCACTGCACCTCGACTTAGCGCGTCCGCTACGATGTTTGTTCCCCTTTGATGTACTGTATTTGGAAGTTGTATGGTTGAAGCTCCAAAGACCAACATAACGCTCTTGCTGAGACGTTCGTTCTTTTGAAAAGGGCTGTCAGCGGCAAATGGTCAGTCTTCACTATGGTTGGTGTTCCATATATGGACATATGGAATCGCCTTATTGCAAAAATAACACTCAGAGCTTCAAGGTCCGTGATGTGATATCTCCTTTCTGTTTTGCTCAAGCTCTTTGAAGCAAAGTAAATCGGGTGTAAAACCAGTCATCATGCTCTTGAGAGAGCACCGCTCCGTTACCTGTGCTTGAGGCATCCGTGAAGATGACGAATGGGTGTTTGCCACTTCGAGCATCTTCTATCCGTGGTTGTTTCAGGACGGGTGATGACGAAATCATTACTTTCATTCTTTGAAATGCGTTAGCGTTTTCGTCCTCCCAGTACCATTTTGTTTTAGATGATGTCAGTTTGAACAGTGGTGCTGCGATTCTCGAGAAAATCAAGCAGAATTTTCCATAGAATGAAGCCATTCCCAGGAAGCTTCGCAGATCTTTGGCATTCTTAGGGGTAGGATAGTGTCGCACCACTTCAATCTTTTGCTTGTCAATGTGGAGACCTTCACTATCGATCACATGTCCTTAGAAGGAAACGCTAGTTTGAAGTAGTATGCACTTCTTTGCTTTTAGGCGTAACCCTGCTTTTCTCATTCTGTCGCATATTTCCTGTAGCAGTTCTAGATGACGTTCTCGTGTATCTCGTCGCCTATGTAGCAGATCACGTCGTCTATGTAGCAGAACACTTCTTCGCCTAGCATTTCTTCGAGCACTGTATCCACTAATCTTTGAAAGACCGCAGGACTGGTGCTAAGACCAACAGGGGTTAGACTAAATTGATATAAGCCCTCTGGCGTTGTGAACGCAGATTTATGTTTTGAGCTCTCTTCTAGCGGTATCTGCCAGTAGCCGCTGCACATGTCTAGCGTTGAGAAATATTTCTTGCCTGCCAAACTTGCCAAGATCGCGTCTATCGTTGGTATTGGGTAGGAGTCTTGTTTTATGCACTTGTTGAGTTCGCGATAATCAACGCACAATCTGATGCTACCGTCTTTTTTCTCGACCAACACAATTGGGAATGCCCAGTCTGAATAACTCTTTTCTATGATATTTCTATCTTCCAGATCTTGTAACATTTCTCTCAGTCTTTTCCGTAAGCCCAGAGGGACTGGTCGCGTCTTGAGTTTGGTGGGTTGGCTTTCTCCCGTGTCTATACTCATTTTCACCAGATCAGTCTGGCTCAGCTATTTTTCGCATACAGCAAACACGTCGGCATAGCTCACCAAAAGATCTGTAAGGTCTTGCTCAATGCGTTTCTCTTTCCGGTTTTGCAGTATTTGTTCTCTGAGCAACTTTTGCTTTTCGTTGGTGTTCATTTCGAAATTTTCTTGATCTAACATGGTACAGTCTTCCCATTTTGTAAGCCATTTTTCGGTGCCCCATTCACCGAGTTTTTCTCCTTTCTTTATGACCATAGGTTCGTGCTCTCGATTCTGTATGGGTAAAGTGATTTTCTTATTTCTTACTTTGTATACTCCACTATTTATGCCTTGTTTGGCTGCCCATATTATTCCTTCTGTGGATTCTTTCGTAATATCGCAGGCTGCCGTTACAAGGCGCACGCAGAGTGCGGGCACCGTTATCCGGTCCGCTGCCAAAACTGAGCTTGGAGGAATATCATTTGTTTCAAATTTTTGCTGTTCTCTTGATGTGGGTTCCATGACTATCTGTACGCCGAGCTTTTTTAGAGCATTCGTTCCTAGCAGGATTTCGTTGCTCTTTTCTTTCGATATATGAAAGGCGACCTCACTCGAAACACCGTCTTGTAATTTTACATGAATCCACACTATCCCAAGAAATGTCATGGGGTGGTTGGATGCATCATATACTGTCTCTATTCGGTTATCGTTTTCCCTTTTCCTTTTTGGTATGTGGTTGCTAGTATTTGTAAAGGTATGATGCTGATCATCGAACCTGACTCTATTGAGCTTGAACGTGACAGTTCAGAAGCTCAGCAGTCCATGTTAGTTTTTCTCCAATGGTGTCAGTTTTCGGATCCATCCATCTCTCGGTTCTTATACCCATCGACTGAATTTCTTTGATCATCGTAGTAGGTGGTTTTCTTTGGTTAACCCATGTTCTTTCTTCACTATCATGACTTACTTGGCTCACTCTGGCTTTTTTCAGAGGGCATTGTAAAGCTATGTGACCATATTCATTACAGTTATAACATTTTCGAGAATGGCTCTTGTTTTTGTGAGGATCATATCTTTCTTTTGTCATTGAGGAGTCTGTTGCTCTGAGAATTTGTGCACGTGTCGGTGTGATATTCACGTTCCCAGAGCTTTCTTTGCCCCCATTTTGGTAGTTGTTTTTCATGTCTGTCTTTTCGTTCGTAATCGCTTGCTCTTACCCTCCAGTTTTGACGGGGTCTTGTGGTGAATGGCTTCCAATGCTTACCGTTGAACATTTTAGCTTGCTCAATGCTAATAGCTAATTCTTTGATTTTTTCGTACGCGTGTCTCGGTTCTACGCTGTGCAATGCGTTCAAGATCTGAACCTGTTCTGGCCAGTCTTTGAGATTCTCTAGCACAATTTGTGCATACTCCATTGATTTGTTTTCGATTGTGCTTTCTGGGTTTGCTTTCTTTCCTAGGTTTTCTAGTACTACGCAAAAGTCTACTATGCTTTGACCGGGTCCTATTCTCAGCTTCCGCAGTTCAGTTAAGGCTCGAATTCTAGCTGTTGTTGATTCATGAGCAGGATTTTGTTGAGCTCTTCAATAACGGCTTCAAATCTCTACTGCTTGATGTGTTCTGGTATAGCTAGGAAAAGGTTTTTAAAGGGACCATTCAGGTGATCATCTCCCAAGATTTCGATCAAGGTTTTTCCGTCTTTAACCGCAGAACAATATTTTCTGCGAAAACGCCTGACAAATTCTCTGAAGTTTTCTTTTTCGCTACATTTGAAGGTGCC